ATTACAGCCATCTCTCAGTCATCCCTCTCCTTCTAGCCTCTTCTCCAGGCTCTAGGCACAGCTCTCTCTGTCTTCACTTCTAGGAGTGGTTGCTGTTATTTGTGCTTGGGGATTGACTCATCTATTCCTTGCTGGTTTCCCAAAACCCGGTCACATCTTCATAAATTGTCCTAAACAGTTTCATGAGTTTGAGTATATCATGTTTTTTTTTTTTTCCCCCAAGACTCCAGCCAATAAACCAATAAGAGAAAAGTGATAAAAATTTATTTAAAACTTCTTCATAATGAAACAACCACACCACCAACAAGGGGAGTGGAAGGGAGAGGAGGGAGGAAGAGAGGGAGGGAAGGAGGGAAGAAGGAAGGAAGAAAAGAAAAAGTCACAGGAAGATTTTTGTAATGCTTATCAGTCACGAAGAATTACCTTCAAATTTCATGAAGAACTACAAATCAATATGAAAAATGGAGTAGAGATAAAAAAGGAAATTCATAGAAGAGGAAATTAGAATAGGAAAAATAATGAAACAAAAACAGAGAATCCCGACACAACTTCTCATCTTTTCCTGCCTCCTGGGCCACTGTAGATTGAGAAGCAGCTGAGAGATAGATATCTGAAATAGAGTACTATTTCTGAAAGCTTGTCTGGGAATCATAGCAATAGGGCAATTGCTAGAGGGGTTACAGAGGAAGAAGTACAGGGTAAAAAGGTTTAGGATAAGACCTAGGCTGGGGAGGTGTTGATGAAGCCACGTTCCACAGCAGCCTGAAAGAGATGGACTCTTGTTCATTAGACATAGAGGGAATGGAGTGTGGAGTAGGACAGATGATAGTAAACTTTGAGAGGCAGTAGTAAATTGAAGAAATTCATCCCTAATAGTCTCTAATTGCTCAGAGGGTAAGAAAGAGAGAATGATGCAGGAGATGTGGGAGAGGCAGAAGGCAATGACAGCTGAGGTCCTGCTGAGGTAGAGGGTAAGCATGGGTGGTCCACTGACACAAGTTCTTCAAAATTGCATAATTTGGTCTAAACCAACCTTTCTCAAGTTCCATAACTTTCTCCCAAATTTTAGGGAAATCTGCCAAACTGGATAACTCATAATTTCCTCTTAAATAAATTGCATCCACCTAGTAATGTATCACTATACTAACATCCCAAAATTCTTGTGTTGGTACCCGTAGTTATTTAAAAGAAGTTTTATCCAGTTTCATTGAGATATACTTGACATGAGGTATAAGTTTAAGATATACAGAATGCTGATTCGATTTACATATATCGTGAAATGAATACCAAGATAAATTTAATTAATATCCAACATTTCATATAGATACAAAAAAATAAGAAAAAAAACTTTTTCCTTGTGATGAGAACTCTTAGAATTTACTGTCGGCACCTTCTATGTATATCATGCAGCAGTGTTAACTATAATCATGTGCTTTGCATCCCTAGTGCTTCTTCATCTTATAGCTGGGGTTGGTGCCTTTTGACCACCTTTGTCTAATTCTCCCCTCTCCCCACCACAGCCCTACCTGCAATAACCACAAATATGATGTTTTTCTATAAGTTTGTTTTATTCGTTTCTGTATTTCTTTTTAGATCTACAGATGAGTGAAATCATACACGGTATTCGTGTTTCTCTGTCTAACTTGTTTCACCCAGCATAATGCCCTCAAGTCCATCCATGCTGTCTCAAGTGGCAGGATTTCTTCTCTTTTTTCGTGGCTGAATAATATTTTATCATATGTATATATACACACACACACATATATATACCACAATTTCCATTCATCTTCCTGTGGACACTTAGGTTGTTTCAGTGCCTTGGCTATTGTGAGTAATGCTGCTATGAAGAGGGAGTGCAGATATCTCTTTGACATAGTGTTTTAATTTCCTTCAGATATATTCCCAGAAGTGGAATTCCTGGGTTATATGGTAGTTCTGTTTTTAAATTTTTGAGGTGTCTCCATCCTGTTTTTTATAGTGACTTTACCAATTTCCATTCTCACCGACAGTGCACAAGGGTTCCCTTTTCTTCACATCCTCTCCAGCATTTGTTCCTCTTGATTTTTTGTTGCTAGCCATTCTAACAGGTATGGTGCGGCGATATCTCATGGTGGCTTTGATTTGCATTTCTCTGATGATTAGCGATGTTAGTGTTGAGAAAGAGATAATAGAATGAAACAATTATTTTTATATTTCTGTTTGTAATTGTTAGGGATAAATCAATAGAATATGCAAATAACAATAAATATGTATTTTTAACAAAGTCATGTAGACTCTTCTTTCATTATTTTAATAGTCCATATTTTTTCATTGGGAGATTAGGACTGAAGATTTACAACTAGAAAGTACAGCTAGAAAATTAACTAATTACCTGTATTTTATTATGGGAGCTCTATATTCAGTTCAATGCAACACACTGTTAAGTACCTGTTGGGTTCAAGGTACTGTATTTACTAGTAGGGAGAGGAAGGAGTTGTACAAAATACAGGAAGCTTTTAACCGTGGAAATGTTGTATAATGCTTGTACATAAAATAGCGCTATTCCAAGTAATTTCAATCTCCAGTAGTCTGCACTTTTTCCGCAGGCGTGGAGGTAAATGTATGATCTCCAAATAGGTGTGTTTTCCCATCACGACTGACCTTCAGGTTTGCTTAAAGCAATCCTGCTGCTCCTGCTGCCTCACCTTTGTTTAATGAGAGCCATTTCCTAATGCCAATGTCAGGTTAATGGACTGAAATAGGAGAAAATCTAACGTATCTCTCCGTTTTACACCAGATTGCCTTTCTGCCTTGTGGCTTTAATCACTCAATCCTACTCACATCTGCCATAATAACAATTATGGGTTTTCTAGTAACTTCTTACCCAGGAGGATATGTCAGAGTATAGCAACATCTCCCACAGAAAGGAAGGGCAAATGTTTAATCTTTTTCCAGCATCGTAGGTAATAATTTTCTTCTGCAAACCCCCAAGGAATACTTCTTTTGGCTTTCACACCCACCATTCCCACAGGTCCATGGCTCTTATCTGATTTACGTGTTTTCTTCAATCCTCTCTCTTCTGAGGTAAGTTTTAATTATGTAGACAGATTGTAAAAGTCCCTTTCTTCTTGTAAACAACTATTTCTTTGTTAATAGTAGATTTTGTTTAACTGGTTCCCTCCTATCTGAATCTTCTGGCACACACAGGAATTATCTGTTCATTGTTTAACTGTAGCATCAAGAGAAGAGAAAGCTGGCTTCTCTCCATAGCTTTCTTCAAAGGATTCAGCCTTGGAGTACCTCAAATTGCCAATCTCTTTCTGGAATTTTTTGTTGCATGTGTTTGGAAAGCCCATAATATTTTAGTTTTGAATCAATATAAGAACAAAGTATCACCTATCAAACAAGCATTATGATAATACTCTCAGTTCTACTTATTTACAAACTTCCTCTACTACCAAAGTTAAGAAATGTTTGAAATCCTCAAGAGACTTGTGACGATGTTAACCATTGCCCCTTCCTCAGGGGACTCAGAGAAGTGGATTAGAGAAAGCTTCTTAGGTAATGCTGACAAACACTGGTCTTACTCTGGCCCCTTCCTATAATAGTTAAAATATAAAGAAAACAATGTATTTACTGTGCAACTTTTTTGTTGTCGTTCTGCATAACTACTTTTAACTATTTGGTGAATTCTTTTTTCTAATCAGGAGATCACTGTACTACATTCACTTCTAATTCTGACCTCATAGGTTACCTTTGAAGCCCAGCGTTTGTGTGAAAATTGGTTCTGCCAAGAATAGCTAAATATTATCCTTTAACCAACCTAGCAATTCCCCACAGCAGTTTTTAACTTTTACCTGGCACCTCACCAAACAACTCTTAAACAGGCTAAATTAATATTCTCCTAGAAGTTTTTGAGGCATATATAGAAGGGGAAAAAAAGAGAGAGAGAGAATTTTTAGACAAGGCAGTATGTGTTATGTCTTCACATTGAGGAAACATTTATTCACCTTATCCAAAGAGGAGGCGTGCTCTGTGGCCACGGAGCAGAGCCAAGGTCTTTGGCTTGCATTAGATACAAAGCTGTGACCTTGGCCTCATTAACCGGGCTAACTATGTGAGCTCATATTTGCTTTGCAGTTCGTGGGAAGAAGGTCTTCTTAACTCAAGTTTCAAGGAAGATTCATAAACAAACTGCTGTCTTATGCAAGATTTTGTGTGTATATTTATGTTTTTCTAAAGAAACATTTTACATTTTCATTAGGTTCTCAAAAATGGGTATGACTTTAAAAAAAGGTTAAGATTATACTAAATGAAATTGTTATAAAAGTCATTTCACTATTTCTTTAAATACAGTAAGCTTTTATTATAGAGGTAGATTTCTGTAATCGGAGATAGATTCTGTATTCCCATGTTATTGTGGGCGACACCTTTGAACTTTTAATATTTATCCTTCTATGCCTTTGAGATATTATAAATATAAATTGAAAAAATCTATTACTTTTGCATGAAAGGGAAATGATAGATTGTACCCACCATTTGTGAACTTTATTTTTAAGATATAAAGTGATTTTTCCCTTTATTCTATGAACATGTTTTCTAAAACCCCTCCTTCAACAATCCATTCTTGTTAGTCGTTTTTTAAGGTAACCTGAACCCTGCTTTACTCTTCACAATATAGAAGGGCTTAAATGTAGCCATGCTTCACCTAATTAAATGTTAGAGTGTTACTTATTAACTGTACATTCCTTAGATAAGGTAAAGGTATACAATAGAAAATTGCCGCTCTAGAGACACCTACTAGTCTCTTGTCTTGAGAGAGTGAACAGTTCATGTAAATCTTTGGTATTGTTGATATACAGCATATTTATACCATATTTGGGAAGAAATGTCATCAGTGAAGTAAAATGTGGATTTTAAAACAATTTTAGGTTACTTCATGGAATGAGCACTTAAGAGAATGAGAAAGGATTGAAGCTCTGTGGAAAAACAAATCATGCGGTCTTCAGAAATGAGGAGAAATGCAGCCATCTGAAATGGTCATGAACCCCAAACAAGTCTTCCTCTCGCTGCTGATATTTGGGGTAGCAGGGCTACTCCTCTTCATGTATTTGCAAGTCTGGATTGAAGAACAACACACAGGTAACACGTTGACTTTTTTTCCTATTTTAATTTTAGTGGTCATTTTCTATTAAATATGCTGTGATGCTTATAGATGTATAGAAAGTCACAATATTTCTAATAACAACAAAAATTAGACACAAACTGACCTCCCCAGCTCCTAGAAAAGGATGATTAAATGATTCTGTTGGGAATTTGCTAGGGAAAACCCTTGGAATTTTTGTTATCTTAGGCGGGAGCAACTTCAACCCATTAGCCCAGCAAGCACTATTTGTAGAGAATTTGTCTACTCAAATGTGTGCTATTTATCCTACTGCTGGCATGTCCAGTTAGCACTGAGCACAAGCCTAAAAAGAGCTAAATATACAGCAAACTCTCTCTTCTTATTCCTTCTTAACTTCTGTGTTAATACTCAAAATTGGTGTGGAAATTATTTAATACCTTTACTATAAAGCAGGGATTGGCAAACTTTTTCTGTAAAGGAATAGTGAAAAATATTTAGCATTATAGACCACGCTGTCTCTATCACAACTATTTAACCCTGCCAATGTATCACGAAAGCAGCCCTAGGTCACATGTAAAAAAATGGACCAGGCTGTGTTCCAATAAAACTTTACTTATAAAAACAGGTGGTGGCCTGGATTCAGTCTGAAAGCAGTAACTTGCCTATCCTGCTTTACTTATCTTGTGCTTTCATCATTCGGTTTGCAGTTGCTGCTCATTGGAGACACTCGATTACTCTTAAAATGGACAATGTTTATAATAATAATAGGAAATAATTATGTTTATAATGATTAA